CTGTGTTCATCAAATTTGTAATCTTTCAACTACGCCAGACCTGAGAGGTTTAGCTAAACAAATTTCTAACTCACAATCACACGAAAATTTTTTTAAGTGTTGATGGAGCATGGTTTTGCGCAACTCGCAACTCCAAACCCTACGCACCGTGCGTTGTTGACACGTATTTTTTACCTGTTCCTTTGTTTCTTCTATGCTGTTTTCCGTAATCTAGAAATGGTGGGGTAGTGGGATTGACCCACCTCCCCGGGGCCCTCGCTGTCGAATACCTCTCTACGAATGCAAAGGTCCCCCGTGCGCTCGGTGCTAAGGTGAGTGTCCGTGGATATCTATGGTTTCTATCAACCGAGAAAACCGCGGAGAAACCGGGCATGGGGAGGAATCAAGGTAAATCCGAGAATGGGAATGAACCAGAAATCGAGGATCTGAACCGGAAAATTTTGAAATTTGGTGGGAAAACTCGAGTTCCGTCGAAGGGCTCGGGATAGTTCGAAAGATTTGGGACGGGTCCAAAACAATCGAGTTTCGTCGGGGGCCTCAGGTTTGGTCGTAAAACGCAAGTTTCGTCCAAAAACGAGGTTTTGTCAGAGAATTTAACTTTCATCGAAAAATTCGAGTTCGGTCGAAAAACTTGGAAAGGGCCGAAAAACTCGAGTTTCATCAAAAAATTCGAGTTTCGTTAAACAATTCGAAACTTGGATTGGGTCGAAAAATTTTTACATTTTCAGTAAATTATGTTCTCCGGCATTATTTTGTCTCGTATAGGAACTAAGTATAGCTCCCATACTTTCTTTCGTAAAAGCCAGTGAAAAATTCGAGAAAAAGTACGTAAAAGTTCAATTGAAAAAATGTAATAATCATAGATTTTAGTGGGTGCAGTGGTCGTTAAAGAGCTTGATGCAGAAACGGCTTTTTTCGCCCCCCCCCCCTGCTGAAATTTCTTCAAACTTTGTCTATTGATTACTCATACTTGAGCGCTTTTTTCCCCAAATTTTCAGAACCCCATAAAATTTGGGGGGGGGCGCTAGGGGGGATGAAAGTCAACATCTGTGAACCTCGATAGCTCTTGAACGAAGAAATATATTGAGGTCCGGTTTGGACGAGAAATCGTCTAAATTTACAAACTGGAAGATTCTCAAGGTTAAAATCCCAATATCACATTTTTTAGTTAACATGTGTGCTTTTTTTTTAGTTTTTGAGTGCAGAAAATTTCTTTTAAAAAGCTAAAGGATACACAAAGATCTGAATTCTTATTTGAACCAAAACCAGTTTTTTAAATTGTTATACTTTTTCTGCATCCAACAAGTGGTCCATTAAGCTGCGGAATCAAACGGTTCCGGAATTATGAACGATTGAAGTTTCTGCTTGCCGCGCGCAGACCGAGTTTTTCGCGCCAAAAAGTCGGATTTGGGTGTTATTAACAGGGTGTCTACAAAATCAAAATGAAATTCCCTGACAATTCCAGATTTTCCATGACAAAAATGACAAAATTCCCTGACTTTTTGGGTTTAGCCATACGATGAACTAGGTAGTTAGAAAATATTAAAAAAAAACTATCCTTGGGAATGACCCCGTAAAGTCATATTCTGAATCACCATGGCGTTGGAAGGAGTTAAGTAATACTTTTGAAAGGAACGAGATCCTAAATACTCGAAATAAAGCTAATTCCAAAATGGTATACTCAGACTAAAATTCACCTTCAAAATTTAATTTTTAAGCTCTACTACGTTCTCTTTGTGACATATTGCCCCGTATACTTTTGAAAATTCAAACAATAGTTCACCCTGGTGGTTTCATAAATATTGGCATATTACTTAGTGCCCTGAAAATACAAGTCTCTTTTTCTTAAAATATAAAACAAGAGTTGTAAATGTGCCTAACTTAGGTATATTTTGCTATAATCAAGAGGAAATACGAGTCTCTTCTCGATTTTGGATAAATTTGCTTAATTCGGGTTTTTTTTTTCTTTCTTTTTTTTTTAAGGTCAATTAATTCAATGGATTCCAGAACCTATTGTTGGTATTGAATTTGTCTTAGACTCAACAAGCATTGGCTTGTTAGAATATAATCTACCGATAATATTTCTATCAAGGTGGATGCACCAGTTGTCAACATGTTGATTTAAGAACCAGAAAAATTTCATGCAAAATGCAGTTGACACTAAATATTTCTTTACTCAGTTAAAGAAAAACTAAAATTTCACTTTCATTAAATTTCCTAATTTATTGAAAAAATCGATTAACCATCTGCTCATAACTGGGGCACTTAGTTTCCTATCATTATTTACTGTAATTTTCTGCTGTTAGCAAGTTAACTTCATTCAAGTCTATTTAGTCTATCTTGCCATTTGGCATGAATTAAGTAGATAAATTAAATAGGGCAGATCGATTCGATCTTTAAAGTTAGCGAACACACATTAGTGAACCTAGCGGCCGTGTTGCAAACTGGTTGAACAGAGCAGTTTACATTATCAGCCACGCGAGCGCCCTACTCGGCCTCGGCAGTGACGAGCAAAAACAGCCGCGAAATGTTCGAATTGCGAAAATTCCCTGACTTTCACCGGTTTTCGATCGAATTCCCTGACTTTTCCCGGTTTTCCAGACAGTGATCAAATTCCCTGATTTTTCCCGGTTTTCCAGACCTGCAGACACCCTGTATTAAATCAGATTGAATGTTCAAACCGTGCAAAACAAGTTTGTAGAGCTTCTTGAGTGTCGCTGAGCTTAGAAATTGCAGATACTTCCAAAAAGTTTACTTTTTTAAAAATACAGCTCGGTACTGTGTGGTCGGTCGGCGCTCGGTGGGCTTCTTCAGTAGCGCCACGGAACTGTAATTTACAAAAAGTGAATTTTTTGGAAGTATCTGAAATTTCTGAACTCAGCGACCCTCAAGTACCCTACAAACTTGTTTCGCACGGTTTGAACATTCAATCTGATTTATTAACACCCAAATCCGGCTTTTTGACGCGCGAAACTTGGTCGGCGCGGTATCCCGTACTTCGATCGCTCATAACTCCGGAACCGTTTGTTTCCTCAGCTTAATGGACCACTCGTTGGATGCAGAAAAAGTCAAACAATTTAAAAAACTGGTTTCGGTTCAAATAAAAAATTGAGATCTTTGTGTATCCTTTGTTTAAAAGAAATTTTCTGCACTCAAAAACTGAAAAAAGCACACATGTTGACTAAAAAATGTGATTTTGGGATTTTAACCTTACGAATCTTCCAGTTTGCAATTTCAGATGATTTCTCATCCAAACCGGACCTTAATATCTTTCTTCGTTCGAGAGCTATCAAGGTTCACAGATTTTGACTTCCACCCCCCCCCCCAAATTTTATGGGGTTCTGAAAATTTGAGGAAAGAAGCGCTCAAGTATGAGTAATCTATGGACAAAGTTTGAAGAAATTCCAGAGGGGGGGAGAGCGAAAAAAGCCGTTTTAGCATCACACTCTTGGAAGCGATTTGTCTTTGAATTTTATTTGAATTTTTGATTTAAGATTCAATTTTCATCACTGGAACCAGCAACCTTTTTTTTCTTCTTTTCTTTTTTTGTTGCGGGCAATAAAATTTTTTGGCCACCTAATTGAATTTCAAATACACCAAAAGCTGAAAATGCAACCTTTCGAATGGAATAATTGGCATTTTCATAGCTCTATTGGTTTTTGCGAAAAATGAAGAAACACATCTCCTTCATGAGCTTAGTGAGTCCTCCAAAAATCGTCGAAAAACCGGGAACAAATCGGGAATGAGAAAGTGGGAAAAAACTGGACACCCTCTTATCAACGCGGCTTCCATAATGAGTGGTTTGATCTTTGATCGCGGTTTTCGGTTCCGTGAACGCATCCTCCCAACATGTTCGACACATATGCGTTCAGTGCAGTCAACGTTACTTGAGCCTTTCCTTTCCCTAGACTTTTACAGAGACAAGCAGGTTGCTGAAATCGGATCCAAAACTGCTTTGTTTCTGATTCTTACGAGCCGACACGTAAGTTGCTGGAGCCTTTCTTTCCTCAAGACTTGGACGAAGCCAAGCAGCCAAGTGGCCAAGGCTTGGAATCGGTTCAAAAACTGCTCAGTTCCCCATTTTATGGAGCTTACCTGTATAGATGGATGGCAATGATCGCAAGAGAATATCGTTAAGTAAACAATTTCAGTTCAGTCAGATCGTCCTCCAAAGCAATTGAGAGCTTTCCCTTGAGTTTTTGATAAAACACACTGCTTACTTTAGTTTATTAACATTTTCCGGGCTCTCACATGGTGCAGTCGGAATTCAAAAATTTTCATCAGTTCAAAAGTTTGGAATAGTGATATGATGGTGTACAATACTAAAATTGTTTACTTAACCTGAATAATTGAACATTGATACCCTAATTAACTGTAAAAACATCATGTTAACGATATTCGCTTGCCAACATTGCCATCCATCTATACAGGTAAGCTCCATAAAATAGGGGAACTGAGCAGTTTTTGAACTGATTCCAAGCCTTGGCCACTTGGCTGCTTGGCTTCGTCCAAGTCTTGAGGAAAGAAAGGCTCCAGCAACTTACGTGTCGGCTCGTAAGAATCAGAAACAAAGCAGTTTTGGATCCGATTTCAGCAACCTGCTTGTCTCTGTAAAAGTCTAGAGAAAGGAAAGGCTCAAGCAACGTTGACTGCACTGAGCGCATAAGTGTCGAACGTGTTGGGAGGATGCGTCCACGGAACCGAAAACTGCGATCAAAGATCAAACCACTCATTATGGAAGCCACGTCGATAAGAGGGGGTACAGTTTTGAGTGTCCAGATTGCTTCAAATTTAACGAACACTGTATCTCCTGAAATCTATGATTATTAAATGTTTCAAGTCAACTTTTACTTTTTTTCTAATTAATTTTCACTCGTTTTTACGAAACATAGGATGAGAGCTCTACTAAGTTCCTACACAGGACTATCTTAGGAAGCATTCTTTTTCATATATCTGTTCCAAGGTGCATTATTTAAAGGAAGATAATTAATTTCACTCACTTGCAACTGTAACTGATTGATTTAGCTAGGCCATTACCAGAACCACACGGAATGATGCCAAGTGTTAAATTTTCTAAAGCTCTATGCCAATCTAATCGTTCCATGATGCCATTTAAAATTTCATACATGATTCCATCCCCACCCATTACGATGATGCCTCTTTGCCATTGGTATAAATTGGAAGAGCGGATTAGTTGCCTGCAAAAGATGTACAAAGTAGACAAAATAAATTTCTTGATGAAACAAAAAATAGTCCACAGAACTACCGATTATTCAGATAACAGCAATCGGCTCGATCTGGATGAAAAAAGAATAGAAAAAAATCCCAATAATCGATGCATCAACCAACTTTTAATTATACAGGGTTATGCAAAAGTCACTGACCACCCCTGTAACTTTTTTCCTAATTGACATAGAAGTTTGAAACTTTGGGAATGTTCCTAGATCTAAGGTAGAAACTTTTTGGTTCCCCCAAAATTTTGGGGGGCAGGGGCTAACTTTTGTTTCAAATGGCAGCCGCCCCTTTCTGACACCTCACTCGAAAGATAAGAAGAAAAAAGAAACATATTGGCACAAACCTCAGGTCAAAATGTTGATTTTTTACAAAATAGTGGCCGGTCAAAGTTCAAAATGGCGGAAATTTGGCATCTCCGTTGTTTATCGACGGATTGGGATGAGAGTCAGAGCGGGGGGGGGGAGGGAGTATGGGACGAGAAAAACGATTCTAGTATTCGTTTTCCACTAAAGTCAGTCCTTTCCAAAATGACAGCCTGGAGCAGGAAGTGGATATTGAGGCTGCTAATCATTAGATTTGCATGACACTTGGTATCCGAGGTTATTTTGGCACGAGATGAATTAATCTTTCATTGGATTTTTGAAATTCTAGGGAACTTCATACAGTGGACTCTCGATAATTCGAAATTGAAGGGAATCGGCTTTTTCTTCGAATTAGCGAGGTTTCGAAATAAAGAGAGTTCCAATTAAAGAGATTCATGTGGGGAAATTTCGAATGTAGAGAGGCAAATGGACGGATTTACGTCAAAAGGAACCAAAAATAACAATTTATTTCTTCACTGAGGTAAAAATTGCACTAGGTTATTATTAAGTATTAATTATATATATCCTAATATATAATTCCGTAAGCCCGATTTCTGTTTCGAAATTGCGCCGCGACCGTCGTGCCGATCCGGGCGTCGGAGGTGCCGGCGGGACCGTCCCGGTCCCGCGGGGTCAGGAAAAATACGGGGATCGCGCGTCGGGCCCCGCGCCCCTCGCGCCCTCCGAAAGATCGCTTATCCCGTTCGTCCAGCTGGGAGATGCGCGGTTTTTCGTTTTCCCCGTGCTGTTCGTTCTTGGTCAGCTGATGACTCGGCTGCCCGAGGCGTTCGTCGTCATGGATATTCGTCGTCTATGAAGAATTCCGATTTTTTCGTACAGTGCGCGTCGTCTTTTGAATTTTGTTAATATTTGTCGTGTATGAAGAATCCCGAATTTTTAGTAAAGTGCGCGTAGTCGTTTCAATATTGGGAATGGATCGGAGTCGAAAACGTGGGCGTCCGGCGAAGCGTGGCAATGTTTCTCGCAATTTATCCGCGCGACGCAAAGTGCGACATGATGGCTATCTCAGTGAGATGGATAATGTACGACGTAGGGGTGAACAGGGAAATAACTTTAATCCATTTCGGCAGAGCACTGATAATTTTATCGAAAATGATTATCCGGAAAATCATTTCGGACTTTTAAATGTGAAGTGCCAGTATTGTGATGCCTTGCATTTCAAAAAGGAGGAGGTGAACGGCCATTTTAACAGATGTTGTCATAATGGTCTTCTCAGACTTGCCGAGCCTGGAATCAATGACCAACTTCGCGACCTGTTCTCCAAACCCATCTTCATGACTAACATTTTGAGGTACAACAGTTGTATGGCTTTTGCATCTCTGTATGCTTCCAAAGCTCATATAATTTTGAACCAAATCTTCTGCCAACCAAATATCTGTATTAAGTCCTCATTGTGATCCAATGATTTATCCTTTGCTCTATCCTCATGGCGAACCAGGCTGGGATCCTAAAATGGAGCATAATGGACCATGCAAGCAGCCTAATCGCAAACATGTAACCATGCTACAATTCGCGTGTTACAGGCTTGCCATTAGAACAGCATTTTCCCATATTCACCAATCCAAGAAATTATTTCAACAATACATTGTAGATTCATATATTCGTGTCTAAGGTGAGAGGCTTCATTATATTAGAGAGCATCAGTCCGAACTCAGAGTTGAACAGTATGCTGGGTTGCAAGATTTTGTTCTGAATAAAGCGCGACTCGATAATATGAATGTTGGAAGAATTGTAGTTTTACCATCTTCTTTTGAAGGCAGCCCCCGTAGTCTTATTCAAAGATATCAAGATGCCATGGCAATTGTCCGCGTGTATGGCAAACCAGATATTTTTTTGACAATGACGTGTAACCCGAAATGGTCGGAAATAACCGCTGCTTTAGCGCCAAAAGAAACTGCTGCAGATCGTCCAGATTTAGTTTCACGAGTTTTTCATTGCAAATTGGATCAATTACTAGGAGATGTATTAAAAGAAAATGTTCTGGGTAGAGTTGTTGCACATGTTTATGTTATTGAATTGCTAAAGCGTGGTCTCCCACATTGTCATTTGCTCTTAATTTATTAGCAGAAGATTTGGTTCAAAATTTAAAGTCGTAAATATGGATTGTTTCTCATGGAAGAGATGAATTAAGGACGGAAATTTTGAAACACCGCAATGGAGATACGTGGTTTCGCTCTTCAGTCGGTGCGATACGGACATCCATCAAGATAAAAAAAATGCATCAAGTTCCCGTCACCGCCGACCAACGCGTTTGTCGATCGAATCAACTTGTTGATCGAATCAACTACAGGTAGTATGAGCAGGGGGTCAAAACGCCTTCAATTTTTTGAACGCAATACGGACATCCGTCGAGGTTGTATAGTTGTATCAAGGCGCCGTAGCAAACGCGTCCCATTGTTTATCGTTACATACAAATATAAGTTGAGAGAGGCCAGTCATAATGCCTTCAATTTTATACATACATGTTTTTGGGCAAAATGAGAGACGACGTTTCTCCATTTGCGACGTTGCAGACTTCCTTAGAAATTTTATTTTTCTTCCGAGAAGCTGGTCAACATAAAACTTAAATTCTCCATGATTTTTCGTATTCGATAGCAGAAGATTTGGTTCAAAATTATATGGGCTTTGGAAGCAGACAGAGATGCAAAAGCCATACAACTGATGTACCTCAAAATGTTGGTCATGAAAATGGGTTTGGAGAACAGGTCACGAAGTTGGTCATTGATTCCAGGCTCGGCAAGTCTGAGAAGACCATTATGACAACATCTGTTAGAATGGCCGTTCACCTCCTCTTTTTTGAAATGCAAGGCATCACAATACTGGCACTTCACATTTAAAAGTCCGAAATTATTTTTCGGAATAATTTAATTTTTCCAGATTTTATACTTAAATTGTTATTAAATAATGATAAATTCAAAATTCCAATTTCATTTTCCAAAATTTCAGAGCATGTTATACCTTCTTTCAAAATTTATTGTCAATTCAAGTTGCTATTCAATTATAATAAATAACTTAAACGTGGTTGTTCTATGATTTCTTACGAGCAGTTCCCTTCCAGTGTTTAGCGGCCGCGTAGCGGCCTCAGGCCCCTAGTTTAATTTTAAAATTATTAATTACCTACATGTTTCCATTTTGACAATCCTATCAGCTCTTTCAGACACCCAGGTATATAAGCAGTTGACTTCGAATTGTAGAGGGAATGTGCCGTCGTACTTCGAATTATAGAGGGAGGACCATATTTACTTCCCACACTTCGAATTACAGAGAGAATTTTTGTCACAGATTCGAATTATAGAGGGCCGCGCCAGCTTAAAAATTTCGAAATAACGAGGGGAGAAAAATACATTGATTTTCTTGGAATTATCGAGGGATTTTTAAGGGAAACGGACTTTCCTTCGAATAAACGAGGATTTCGAATTATCGAGGTTCAAATTATCGAGAGTCCACTGTAATCGATATTACGGCTGTTTGCTAATGGACTTGCATGAAATTCGATAGCCTGGTTGTTTTTGGCTCGAAAAAATGAATCTTGTATTACATTTTTGAAATGCTGAATACTATCGAAATGGCGGCCGAGTTTCATGCAAATCCATTGGTAGACAGCCGTATTATCAATTTCCCCGCCAGTTTTCTGTTGCCATTTTGAAGCTTTTTGAAGTTTTTACAAAAATCCAATAAAATATTCGTGCTTCTCGTGCCAAATTACTCGCGGTTCACAAGTTTCATGCAAATCTAACGATTCGCAACCTGGATATCCACTTCCCGCTTTAGGCCGCCATTTTAACTGCCGCCATTTTGAAAAGGATTGACTTTCGTAGAAAACTACTACCAAAATTGCTTTTCTCGTCCTTAAAACCCCTGGACTACGACTTTCATGCCGATCAGTCAATAAACAACGGAGATGTCAAATTTATGCCATTTTGAACTTTGACCAGCCGCCAGTTTGTGGAAAATCAACATTTTGATACGTGGTTTGGGCCAATTTTTTTTTATTATTATTTTCATTCGAATGAGGTGTCGAAAATGGGGAGGGTTGCCATTAAAAAAAAAATTAGCCCCCGCCCCCAAAATTTTGGGGGACCAAAAAGTAGCTACCTTAGACCTAGGAACATTCCCAAAGTTTGAAACTTCTAAGTCAGTTGGGAAAAAAGTTACAAGGGTGGTCAGTGACTTTTGGATAACCCTTTTAACCCTGTGTAGAAATATGAATTTAATAAAGTACATAATTAATATACAGGGTGTTCGAGAATTCCCCCCCCCCTCTAACTTTTGCCCTAATTGAGATAGAGATTTGAAACTTGGAGGGTGTTTCTAGATCAAAGGGAGCTACTTTATGACCCCCCTAAAATTTTGGGGGGATCCCCCTTGGGGGGGTTACGGACCCTAACTTTTTTTTTTCAAAAGGGAAGACCCCCTTTGTGATACCTCGTTCGAAAGAGCATACAAAAAGACAATTTTTCGCGCAAACCCGAAGTCATTATCTCAAATCGTTCCAAAATGGCGGCCGGTCAAAGTTCAAAATGGCCGAAAATTGGCACCTCTGCTATTCGCACATGGATTTGCTTGAAACTCGGTGTCTG